GGTAAAAGTGATGGAAATAAATAAATAATAAATAAATATACCCCCAGTCGCCTTGTATGCCGGAAAATACGGTAGTTATAGACTTAGTAGGCATAAATTCTGGTTGATAGTTAATGTTTATTTTACTTAAGTGATATTTGTCTTTACTGTTCTAATGTCGCACAAATCCTATGTAAATTCATACTATGTATTCTTGACATTAATATTGAAATCTAAAATATATACAGAACAGTAAAAAATTCTTTTCTATTTCTTAATTCTTTGTTGTAATAACATCATGATATATAAATGAGATCTGCAGAATGTAATTTCACTTTGCATAATTATTTAAAATTAAAATTATAAAAATAACACATTATGTTTCCCCTGTCTTGGTGTTTTATTTATACAGGTAACTGACCCCCCCCTCCCCAACAATGCGTATTTCATTTTTATAAAATATCTCTTCCAATGTTTTTTAAAATATAACAATACATTATAATAGTATTCACAATGCCTCTTTAAGATACCAGATATCAGAACAGAAAAAAACATAGTTTTTAAGCAGAGGCTGGATGGCTATCTGTTGAAGGTGCTTTGATCGTATCTTCCTGCATGGCAGAATGGGGCTGGATTTGATGACCTTTATGGTCCCTTCCAACTTGATGATTCTATTAGATTCCTATGTTGATTTGAACTAGCAAGTCAAACCTTTGGATTCAATGTCCATGAAAACATTATACAAGCAGTACCCGACTTACAAAAATCTGACTTACAAACATCTCATGGTTACAAACGGGGTGAGTCAACAGGAAGTGAGAAAAATCTACCCCTCCAAAGGGAAATTCACTCCTGAAAGAGTTATCATGGGGAAAAGGTATTTCAACTGAAGATTTATCACCAATCCTTGTTTCCACAACAAGCCATTTTTTTTTCAAAATCCAATTATTACAGGGACAGAAAGTGAGGTGAAATCTTCCAAACAGGGGCACACACACCAAAACAAACACCACAAGGGTGTTAATCCTTCCCTATGCTATCCAAAGCATGCATGCATGCGTGCATGGCTAGAGTTGTCTAAAAATGTACCTGTTCCAATTTACAAATTCAACTTATGAACAAACCTACAGAATCTATCTTGTTCGTAACTTGGGGACTGCCTGTAAAGCATTATTAAAGTGCTATGCAATATATAAACAATAGCTGTGCTCATTTTTTGCAGCTTTTCAGGTTCTTTCTCTTTTATGGCTATATACTGAGCGTCTGAAAATCAGCAGTGTTTATCACAACTTATTACTTAAAGACCTTTTTTTTTAATCGTGTCAGAAGCAACTTGAGAATATACTTGAGAATTGGCTATCTGCAAGGATGTTGTCCAGGGGGCGTCCGGATGTGTTACCATCCTATGGGGGGCTTCTATCATGATTTCTTATGAAAGACACAAGACAATTGGCAAAATATATATGTTCTTCAAATCACTTGCCACCAAAAGGAAAATGATTATAATGCTTTAACAGATGGAAGCATGTGAACTGATCTAGTTTCTGGAAGTATGCCAGTAGAGTACTACATGTGTAGTTTACTCATTTTCCTGGTTTAAAAGACTACTCTCTTCCCATGTGGTTCTACTCAACTTGCAAGTGTCATGGTAAAGTCACTGAGGAGAAAAAAAGGCCCAGAAGATTGGTACTACTGTTACTATTTTGAAACTTCATACCAGATTACACGCTGGACTGGGGGACCTGTATAGCACTTCTAATACTGCTAGACTATTACTCCTATTATCCCTGACCAATTGTGATAGTGCCTGGGATGGAAGAATTTGCAATCCCACATTATCTGGAGGTTGACCAGAAAAGCTTCTGACAATGGGGAACCCTGAATGCTGTATTCATCTCCAGTTCCAGAAATATGCATATCAAGACTCATGTATGTGCTTATGCATGTGAGAGCCCATGTATATCCTTAAATGGATCAGCGCAATTGTAACAAATGTTTATGATAAACATAAATGTTTGTTGCACCAAAATAAAATCTCAGCCTTAGTGCTATAGGAAGGAAAGAGAATTAACATGATCCAAGAGAAAGCTCTTTTTAGAAAATTCATTAATAGATTCAAAAGCAAAATTGCTAATTTCTCCTGATTATTTTCTATTTTCATGATTAGGAATCAATATTAACTAGATAGATATCAAAATGCCTTCCATCCCAATATTCTCATAAACCAGTATTTTCTTTAAAAACACAGACTACTGTACTTCATACCTATTATAGCTTTATTTTCCATTCTGGAGGCTTAAAGGATATTTGGAAGAATTGCAGCTGGCAAGTGAAAGAAATCAGACAAAGAAATTCTAATTTAATTCAGTAAATTAATCCTGTTTGTGATCTAAGAAACATAAGCTATTAAAGCCATGACAGTACTATGCTCCTGTGTCTGTGTCAAAATGACAAACACATTTTGAAGATTAATTTCTACTCCTTTGGCTACGTGATGAAAGTGTTGCAATAAAAGTTAAAACTTTAATCATTTTTATTATCTATTTAGCGTAAATAGAGTTTTGTAGTTCTATTGTAACTAGTGGAGTTAATATGTGGCATATTAAAAATTGAAACTGATATTATTCCATGATCCAGCAGTTGGTTGTAGAACAGATGAAAAAAAAACTGTTCAGTGAAAACCTGTCACGATGACTTAAACTACTGGATTTTTGGATAAGTTTAAGTATCACACAGTAGGATGAGAAAAAATATTATGGTATCATTTCCCCCTCTTTTTCCACATCATCAAAGAAATTGGACAGCATTGATCACCAGCATTGAGATGATGGGATTTCCTCCAAAAGATATGTCTGAGGCTTTAGAAGTTTCTGAACAGCACTGTGCAGGTGTAGATCAACCTGTGTGTGAATCACAAAGCCAGAAATAGCATAAAAAGGGTGGCAGAAGAATGAAATCTAGCAGTGCCTTTATGACTAAGCGATTTATATTTAGCATGTGCTTTGGTGGATATCAATCCACTTCCTCAATTATACAGGTAGAGTGGTATTAAAACATATCCATGAAAGCTTATGCCAAAATACAAATTATTTGGTCTTAAAAATGCTGCCAGATTCCTTATCATCTTCCTTTGTTTTAATGCTGCTATAGACTAATATGGCTATTTCTTTGAATCCAGTAGTAGTCGGTTCATCTGCTACCCATTATTAAGAAAAAAATTACATCTATACTATATTAATAATACCTTTACAACCATATCTAATTTGGCCACTGAATAAAGCTTCAATAAAGGTCTTCAAGGTAAGTTAGTATACACCTTTCATCAATAACTAAATAGCTAAATAATGGTGTCTTTTCACCACTGAGATATGTTTACAAGACGGCAGATGAAAAACAGTATTTCATTCTTGTCGAAAACAACAAATAACAAATCAAAACAGTGGGTAAAACAATCTCAATATAAAATTATAAAAACTAACCTAAAAATTAACCAAAACTTACTCTTAAATAAACATAACATAATGCATTACAAACATTTATAACATAATAAACTCTTACAATTAGTCTAAAAAGGCATTAAAAGCTAAGGTGGTGTACAACATCCAGCAGGTGGAGGTAGGTGTCCAATATCTAGGCAAGGATATATATAAAATGTACTAGTCCTCCTCCTCTCCATGAGCTAAGGTGCATAAGTGTGTTTTTAAAAGCTTTTTAAAGGAGAGGAGAGGAGGTACCATTTTTAGTTATTTAGGGAGGGAGTTCAAAAGGCAGGGAGCGATCACGGAGAAGGCCCCTTCTCTCGTTTTTACCAACTGTGCTTGAAACGAGGGTGGGACCAAGAGAAAGGCCTCTCTTGTGGATCTCAGGGATTAGGCAGGTTCGTACAGGGAGATGTGATCAGCCAAACAGCCTGTACCTGAGCCATCTTCGGCTTTAAAGATTATAATCAGCATTTTGAATTGTGCCCAGAAACGTACTGGCATCCAGTGGAGCTGCTGCAACATGGGGTGTCTGATCTCTGTAGCCAGCCCCAGTTAGCAACCTGGCTGCAGCTCTTTGGATCAGGTGAAGTTTCCAAACAATCTTTGAAGGCAACCCCATGTAGAGTACATTACAGTAATCCAAACATGATATAACTAAGGCATGTACCACCATGGCAAGATCCGGCCTCTCAAGGAATGGGTGCAGTTGGCGCACAAGTTTTAATTTGTGCGAAAGCACTCCTGGACACAGCAGAAACCTGGCTCCCAGGTTCAGTGCCGAGTCCAGGATGACCCCCAAACTGTGGACCTGTCTCTTAAGGGAGAGTGTAATTCCATTCAGTTTCAATTTATTTACTCTCACCCAGTCCATTACTGATGACAGGCACTGGTTTAGGGTCAGGACAACTTCCTGCGTTTTAGGTGAAAAGAGGTTTAACCTTTCCTTGAAAAGGTAGCAAGTTCAACTCCAAACTTGTATTTTCCACTTATTTTGGAATAGAGCAGAATCCACAAAATTAACAGAAAGATACATGAAGAGCAGTGAAGCACCATAATCAAGTTGTTTAACAAAAAATTGGAAGCATATTTTAAAAATGAATACACTTCCTGACAAGCCAAAGAAAGACAACCAGAGACCATGTGCACAATCTGACCCTCATAGGGCCCAAGGGATGTCTCACATCTTCCTGAAGAGAAGGAAATCTACACAAATAAATATCACCTTCTAGTTGTGAAGACAAGCAAAGAGGATTCTGAAATACCTTTCCAATACCAGTTACCCCACTTTGGACTGATTACCTCGAAGCTACATCAAAGGCACTACTTTAGAACTGAACAAACATTATGATTTCAGCCAACACTCCCATCATAGTGTGATTCCAAGACATTGTATAAAATTAAGGGGAAGGGAGTCAAGGGCTGAAGATGCAAAAGTGAGCTCTGGTGAACTCTCAAACATAGGAGGATTAGCATGTAAACTAAGGAACAATATACAATTTTGAAACAAGCTTTCATTGTTGTTGCTTTCATGTTACCCACCTCAGATGTGCACGTAATCCTTCTAGGATGGGGAGCTTCCTGTTGCAATTGATACACTATGAGAAAGTAGAAGTAAATCAGATTTTATTTTATTGTTTGCCACTTAACTTGAATGTAAAATAAACATTTGAGCATTATCTTATAATGATCTCTCCACATCAGGGGGTCAGTCATCATTATTAGATTATTTTTATGTCACTTTTTCATATATCTAGGAATTACCTTCAGTATAACAAAATACAATTATATGAGGAAATGATTTATACATTATCACAGTTATTAATATGACTTGATAGTGGCAGTGATGGACATTTAATGCATTGCATAGGTAAGTGGTGCAGAACATGTCGCCTTCCAGATAGTGGACTAGCACTGAATAAGCATCATTATGATTTCAGCCAATGCTCTTATCATAGTGTGATTCCAAGACATTGTACAAAATAAAGGGGAAAGGAATCAACAAAAAAGGCACTAGCTACTTAGGCAATATCCACAAAGATCTAAAAGGCCAGATATTCCCCATCACTGATTTGGGTCAGGGCCAAATCTTCTTAAAATACAATATATACTAACAAACCACTACAGATTTACAAGTGTAGAGGAGGTAATCCAGAATCCAGTAAACAATTAAAAAAACTGGTATCTCCTAGTTCCCAATAAGAGATCATTATAATAAATTAATGCTATGTGACATATAGACTAACATAAACAACAAACAGACAAGCAAAGCAAAAGCTCACTCTCTTTACAAAAGGGTTGTTTTTCAGAGATTTATCATTCCTATTTTGCAACCACACATGCTTTCTTTTGTGACAAGCACTAGTTGTATGACTGTTGTGATTAATGATGTTTAATATAAGCGATGCAATGAGTGCCAATTTTATCCTTTAATCATCAGCTTGAAGACAAAGGCCTGCTTCAAGTCACTTTCTCTGTTAATGGTTTTATATTAAGTAACTGGCTTGGCATATGACAAGTGACTGATATAACAAGTTATGACTCAAAAGCGGCACTGTGGGACACTTAAGAGGCTCTGAAGCAGACAAAGGTTCTGACAATAGCGATTATGGGATGGCAGCTGTGGGCAAGGGAGTCTTAAAGGCACTACAATTTTTCCAGGCTCTGGAGAGTGAAAGGGGGAAAAAGCCTGGGCAGAAATGAAATCAAATGAAGGTTGGCACTGCATTAATTTCAATATAGAACTCACTTTAATCACAGTGGAATACAGTGATGAAACACTGATAATGACAGTTAAGTCCCTTGGTATCATTTGTCTTCGCTCAGGGGCAGCAGGAGCAAATGCCTCCAAGTAAAGACAACTGAAAGATACATCACTCCATGCTTCTTCCAGTCCTTTTTTCTTGAAAACAAATGAACACCAAAACAATACAGATATACCTTTTGATCAATGCTCTCCAATTTTTTACTTTTTGAAAAACATTGCACTATTTTTATTGTTTCAGCTTCTGCTTATAACAAATTACTTCGGGTAACAAGGTTCACCAAATTTAAACTTCAAATATAGCTAACTAGACTTGCAAGGTTAGAACTAAAAGGTTTTTGGTTTAGGGACTCGCCAGGATTTCTGTCTCAATTTTGTTCTATTCGTTCACTGTTGCATACCCATCCATGTTCATGAATAGATTTAGAATGAGGAGAAACCAATTTACTGAAGATCTCTTATGTTCTAAACTGGATTTAGTCATTCTCTAATAAAGGGCTTTTAAAAATCTCTGTGGGAAAGATGATGTAAATTGGAGTAACACGTCCTTCACGCATGCCACAGCAGCTAAAATCCATCATAATATTGTGCTTAAAGTGCCATGAGTTTTATATTCAGTGCTTTATATGACTTAATATATACATAAACCACAGCATATGCAACTGTTTGAGCAATCTTATTGCAGCACCAGAGCTTCCTGACAGAGAAGGCTAAATATCTCACAAAGCTGCTGTACGAATCAAAAGATTCTATAGCATTGGTGTCAAACTGTTATTAATCTGCAGTGTGGCTACAACCCAAGTGGTCTTAATAGGAAGAATTGTGCAACCAAAACCCCTTCAACCTTAATAGATTCTCTTAACAATCTGAGCTTTTAGCTTGCAATTCACTTTGTTTCAGAAAATGAAAATCACAGTCAATCACATATGACAATAAGCAGAGAATATATGTGAATATTGAAACTCAACTGAATTAATTTGGAAATACTAACAATACCAGTTTGTAGGAAGTAGGAAGAGAGGATGACATAAAAAAAATGATTCAAATACTCACAGTAAGATTTCCATACTGGTGGCCTGTACTCATCAGTATCTGAAACAACAACAAAAGGATAATGTTATATATACCACAGCAGCAAAATAGTCGATCTGTAAAACATATACAAGGAGAAAAGTGTTAATAAAAATCTAACTGAAATATACACAAAATGCAGGTTGAGCATCAATTATTCTGAAATACTCTAAAATCCACAATTGTCCACGTGTGGCTGAGATACAGGCACATTTTTGCTTCCTGATGGTTCGGTGTACACACACTTTGGACCTCATCTCACTGAGGTCCAAATTACAGGAGATAGTGGGGGGATTTGCCATCCATTGTGGTAAATACAGTAGGCAGCAGGGGCATCTGTCACCCCGCGCCCCATGTCATTCACTTACCATCCCATGGGGAAAAGCATTGACACCCAGCTTCCCCCCACACTAGTCCCATTCTTCTCTATGAGAACATGGGAAGCCTCCTGTGTTCTCTTTTCAGCATCCTAGGACATTTGCAACATGCTGGAATGACGGAGCCCCGTCGGAAGTAGCTGTGTGTTGTCTGATGGCATCTGGCAGGCTCCAACCTCCCAGCATGCTGCAAGCATTCTAGGATGCTAAAAACTCCTGATACAATGAAGTCTTTTGTTTTGTGCATAAAAATATTAAACAGTTTACAAAACAACCTTCAGGTGTGTGTGTGTGTATGAAAGAAGAGCCCATGGTGGTGCAGCAGGTTAAACTGCTGAACTGCTGAACTGCTGCACTTGCTGACCAAAAGGTCAGTGGTTCAAATCTGGAGAAAGGGGTGGGGTCTCACTGTTAGCTCCAGCTTCTGCCAACCTAGCAGTTCGAGAACTGAGTAGATCAATAGGTACCACCCCAGCAGGAAGGTAAAAGCGTTCCGTGCAGTCATGCCAACTACATGACCTTGGAAGCGTCTATAAAGAACACTGGCTCCTTCGCTTAGAAATGGTGATGAGTACCACCTCCCTGAGTCAGACACGACTAGACTTAATGTCAAGGGGAAACCTTTTCTATATGAAATATAAGTGAATTGTGTGTTACGCTCAGGTCCCATCTTGAAAAAAAAATCTTATAATGTATTCAGGTATTCCAAAATCTGAAAAATCCAAAATAAAAAATATAATTCTGGTTTCAATCATTTTGGAAAAAGAATAATCAGTCTGTGTCCCATAATCGTTTCCTGTTCAATGTATCTGAAACCAGAGCTTGAAAACATCACCCCGATCCGCAATAGTAGTAATAATAATAATAATAATAATAATAATAATAATAATATCATCTTTATTTATAGCCCACCCTATCTCCTCAAGGGGACTCAGGGAGGCTTACAACAATATAAAACACAATGGAAAACATGTAATGCCAGTGAAACATGTAACAAATAAAAAGTTTAAATAAATATGACATAACACATTTAACACATTATATCTATAAAAAACGTATTAAAATCCAACTAAAATAATTGGGGTTAAGATGGTATACAATTCATTTACATGATGCCTTTTCCTCAAAATTGCGATTCAAGGCAGCTTATAAAAGTGGAAGCCACTGCAGTAATTCATTTTTGCCAAATGAGCCCTATTGAAAGAGAAAATCTAACATACTGATGGGAACTGAGGAAAATAAGTTTGAAGTAAAGGTCAACATTTTCTTCTTCGACTCTAAGTTGAATCAAATTAATGAAACATAAAAGAAACAGAATGTTTGAAACCCATATAAAGGATCTGATAACATGGTTTGAAAACACATCAAGATCTTCTTCTGTTCATCTGTTGAAGGGATTTTGTTCACTTGCCTGAACTAGCTCTGCTATACTCCCAAGTGGCATCATTTACAGAGGCCAGAAGCCATAGCTGAGCCCAGGGACTCTTCCCCAAGGTCACAGCAAAGTCACCTGCCTGGTCACAGAGAAATAGCAACACTTACAGCTGCAATGATGGAATTCTAGTTAGATTCGTAAACTATTAATCATCGCCTCTCAGCTATTGTGGATTTCATTGTAACTCAAGGGGTTTTTTTGGTGTGTTTTTGTTGCAGTAATTAAATAATTTTGTGCTTACGTCTATCTCCCAAGTACATTTGTGTACATACATTATCATTTAGTCTGCTCCCCCCCAGCGAAATATTAAAGCAATTGCCACCAATTAAATATTTACTTGCATCTGGGCTAGCATTACCTTTATGCAGAATGAGGAAACTGATTAATGCAACAAAGATGGTGGTGTTAGAGAGTGGCCATTCTTCCTTTAAAAAAGAATTTTTTTTAATTGTTTTACTCCACTCCCACCCTCCAACCTTTCCCCTTGGGCATACCCTTTGTACAATAAACTATAGAAATAACATTTGAAATATCAATCTTACTCTCATTTTTTCTACTCCACACCTCAAAACATGATCTAAGTAATTCCTAACTGGATCTCACACACTCTATTATAACATTTTCTATTTTATCTATATTGTTCAATTTACAATTTGTTATTTCCACATTTAACATATTAACTATATAATTATATCAATTTGTAGGAGTCCATTTTGTTTTATCTTTCCAACTGCTCACTAAAACATTTTGAGCACACGCTATTAATTTGTCAACTACCCTTTCCTTTTGCACATTATAAACTCCTGGTATTCTTGGATGTAATACATTTCTATTGGCTATTATTATTTGTAAATTTAACATTCTATTAATTTCTCCTCCAATCATTCTCCAGCATGCCTCTACTCGATCACATTCCAGTATCATGTGGCCATTCTTCCTGAGCTCCTTGGATGCTTTTCTCTGGGTGCCTCTATGTAAAATTAATACAGTTTAACACCATGTTAATTGCCATAGCTGAATGATATAGAATCCCTGGATATTTAATTTGGTGAGGCACCAGCACTCTTTGGCAGAGAAGACTAAATACCTTGTAAAACTACAACTTCCAGGATTCCATAGCACTGAGTTAAACCAGTTAAACTGGTGTATTAATTCTATAAGTAGATGCATCTTGAGTTACAGGGTCAATTTTGCACACACACGGATCATCATTCTTTGCCTGTAGCATTAAATGGCTACGTGCATGTGTAGAATGAACCTTCACTATCCATCACCAGAATTTCTTTTTGGTGCCAAATAAGTCACAAAGTTTTACAGAAATAGTTCGTACTAATAGTCTTCAAGTAAAGTATATTGTGGAAATCGGCCTTCAGAACTGATGATATCCTAGGAACTTTTTACTTCAGTTTCTAAAGAAAACGGTTTTGACAAAGGTTGAACTTCTCTCCTTTATCAGAATGCTGTTTGCCCTCCACATTTGCGAGTTTCACCTTGTGCATCTGATTATTCATCAATTTGATTAATATATTCTCTCTAGGAATCTCTGAGTCTTCCATCATAACTCTGTGGTCAAATTCCAGCACAGGGCTGAGTTGGAGGACCTAGAAATTCATAAAAAGAATGTTTTTCTGGGCATTCGTAGGTCCCCTAGTAAGTATGCTTCTATGGTCAACATCTCGCAGACGTTCACCATTGAGTTGTGCTGGAAAAACAAGAGATTCCTAGAGATATATTCCTTCCAGTTTAAAAAGTGGCTTTTAGTTGTGCCCCCCAGCCTCCACTTTTATGGGGGTCCTATGTCTTTAGATGCAGTAAATGTGGAAGTCTAACTGTACCTGAATAGAAACTTATTTTACAACTAAATGATTGAAGGGGATGAAGTATCTGTTCAGCTAGTAAAACACATTGCAAACCAGTGTTCTGGTTAAACTGGTGTTACTATAAGCTATACATCTTAATTAAAAGAAACAAAAATAACTGAATGGAAGAGCAAGGCTATTTTTGCCAGTGCTCAAACATCCTGATTACATCTCAATGAAGAATACTTTGCTTATAAGCAAATATTTACCATTCAAGATTACTGGAAAGAGTATTTATACCATGCAGGTGTTCACATATATTTTGTTTTAAAGTACCACTTATGAGCCTTTCTCCCTTAATCTTGTTTACACAACTGAGGCCACCCACATTATGGAAGAAAACAACAAATATTATCTGATAAACATGCTTCATCAGTGACAGATAAGCAGAAGATCTTTACAGCATTATTCTTTGCCATCAAGAAGATGCTATTTGAAGATGATACAAAATATTGCCTCTGTTTTTTAACCCTGAGATCCCAATGTTATACTCTTATGCATAGCACCATCTGTGAGATCACAGTACAGAGACATTTAGTTTTCAGATTTTAGAAGCTTGTCTAGTCCTATGGTGGGGAAGAAACACATTTCACTATTGATACTCTGGTGCAAAATACAATATATTATGGTCCTTGGTATCTGCTAGAGCTTGGTTCCAGATACCCCCACCGACATTGATACAAAAATCTGTGAATGCTCAGGTTCCACTATATGCAGTGCTGGAGTAAAATGATGTGACTTATAAAAAATTAAAAAAACAAGGTTTGCTTTTTGGATTGTATTTTGAATATTTTCAAGCTGTGGGTGGTGGAATCTGTGAATATGGAGTTGTAGATATGGAAAGTTGAAAGGCCCGGGGGGGGGGGGATGAGGATGCAACAAAGAGACAGAACTACCTATCAATCTCAGAAAGGGGAGACGGGACAATAACGTTGCATCCTGGCCCCACCACTATTTAACTTCCACGTCCACTCCATGGTGGATCATCTTCATAATATGGACTTTCACTCCACAAAACTTGTGGGAAGACATATCATCACATTACTCTATGCAGATGATGCAGCACTACTGTCAAGAACACCTACTGGCCTTATAAGAGCACTGAAAACTCTAACACAATACTGCAACACAGATCAGCTACAACTTAACTACCAGAAAACCAAAATAATGACGGGATGACTTCCAGTCCACATGGATACAGACAGTAGCAAATAAAATCTCATCCCTAAGTTTCTCTCTAGGGTTGCTACTCAGAGACTGTGCCCCTGTGACTCTGGACACATAGAAACAACTGAGCATGTGCTCCTCCAGTGCCTGTTTTACACAGACATTCAAACTAGTCTCATCTCA